GTCTTTTTTTAATAAAAAATAATTTAATAAAATAAAAATAAAATATTAATAATCTTAAAAATATCCATAACGGGATCCGGAACTTTTAAGACGTCGAGTTTATAAAAAAAGGCAAAAAGTATGATTTTTTTTTTTTTTAACAAAGTTATAATTTTAGAAATGCGGGGAATCGAATCCTAACTTTCAATGAACGTGAGACGCAGGTGCGCAAAAAGTATGACTTCCCAAAGAAGTAATCTATTAAACTTTATGGCAGCTATTTTCGATGGAACTTTTATCGTATCATTGTCCCTACCAGTTTGATTTGATGTGGGATTTAGTTTGGTCCCCACACGCACTCAGACTTATTGAAAAGGGCATTTTAATTACTTAACCGTCGCCGTACTCCTTAGAATCCAAAATCTTGACCTTATTCATTCTGTTGAAAAATTCCTCCTGTCCCTCTTCCTGTTTCTGTCCCTGTCCGGTACCTTTTATATTGTAAAAAAACAAAAAAAAAAAAAAAGTGTTCTGAATCAGATCAGGTCGGTTATTATCAGGAAAATGAGTTTTCACTAAAAAAAGTGGCCTCTCCCTATTGCAGCATCTCCAATCTCCAACGGCAATCTTTCTCATAATCCTGCTAAGCCTGGTCCTCTTCGCCACTGCTCCAACAGCCGCTGCCCTGTCGACGTCTTCATCAGGTACATCTCCATTCTTATTCTCTACTAAACGGTTCCTGAATCAATCAATTCTGTTTTTAAAGTTTATTATAATTTTGAGGAGCTTGTCATAACCCAGACTTGAAGGTTTAACAAATATAAAAGCAGCATAAGAAACAAATGAGTTAGTGGATCAATTAGTACTTTAGGTATTCCATTGGAGATAGAAATTTCTATTCGAAAGTTGGCAAGTCTTGAGCTAAATTAAGACTAGAAACCATCTTACTGGTTCATAGAGAACATTCTTAAACTTATACTCAGAATGTAACTTGCATATAAACCATAAGTTCCAAAATAGATTTTACATGCTTACAATCCACAAGCCTAGCTTATTTAGATCCAATCCCAGAGCTTAGTTACACAAACAGCATATTTACAAGACCAACAAAAGGTACAGTTCTTTAAGGTGACTAGCTTATTTACAACCAACTGTGAGCCATGACAAGGTTTTGGTCAGAGAACAAGTTTCTATTATCAACTCAGCTGCCAAGCACTGTCTTTGGTTGGTTGGAGTACTCTTAGGCTTCCCCAGTACTAATGGCTGGTAGTGTAGCAGCTACCTTTGTTTGCACACAATTTATGCATGGTTTTCTGACTAGTCTCTAGGGAGAAAGACAGAACAAGGTTACTGGAAGTTGTCCTATAAGTTTTCTGTGCCGTTCCGTCCTTAATTCTCGGTTCCTTGAGTCGGGGAGCCCTCAATGATTCATCATGCATAAGCTCATCAGGATCCAAAATAGACATAACTTTTCCTCACCACAGATTTTCTCAACATGGCCTAATCTACCACACTTGTGACAAAAATCACATAGTTTCTCATACTTGAGATATTTATCCATCTATGACCTTGCTTATTCGAATGAGACCAAAAGCCAGCTATAAGCGGTTTCAGAACCTCAATTTGGATTTTACATCATCAGAAAGCCCCTAAGCAGTATGTTCCTATCTCTCGGGTTCTCAGCTTTCACCAGGATGCCTAGGTTACTATGTTAACAGCTTTCTCATATGTAAGCTAATCAATCCTAAAGCCAATCCTAAGGCCATGACAATAGGAAGCTGGAGAGATATTATTTCAGCAAGGGAATAGCCAACCTCCCATCTCTTAATGTTAAACAGAAAACCCCCAATCTACTCCGACCTTCTGAGTGTATAGATAAGTGTTCACTTCATTTACCTGAAAGTTTCTCCATGCCTTAGCCAAAACTTCATAGATCTTCCCCTTTTGATTGGAGATTCAGCAATCACTCTTCCGGCAGGGCTCCACTTCCTGGTAACCAAGCCCGATTGTGTCATAATCGGCCAATAAGGAAAAACAAGCAAAAACAACAAAGATTATAAAAAAAATTTTGGGGTTTTTTTGGCTAATAGCTAGATACAGGGAGCATAAAACTCTAGTAAAGTATTTAGGGATTTTGGAGGTGAGAAACTAAGGAAACGAGAAACAACGGCAAAAAAATTTTTTGGGCGTTATCAGATTTAGGAACGGAGCAAGTAGAAAAACTATGAGAGAATCTGAAATCATGGAGAGGGGGAGGAAAACTAGAAGGAAGTTAGGGGAAAATAAAACTTCAAAATTGAATAGAAAAGGCTAAAGAAAGCTGAGAAAAATCTCAGCTTCTGGGGAGGGATGCGACGACTCTCATGTAGCTCGTGGAACCCTAGCTGGGCGGGGCTACTTCACTTTACTTTTTACATCGGAATTGAATCGAATTCTGGCCTGTTTGGTGAGAGAAACAGCTTTTTAGTAAAAGTTTTTTTTTTTTTTTTGAATATGAGAAAATTGAGAAAATGAGAAAAGTTTTTAAATAAATGGTGGAGGTAGCACTTCTAATTATTTAAATTTAAGTTTATCTATCAAAGTTTGGGTTTTGATCAATGCTAATGGGTTTTCAATTTCATTTCAGTTTTTTTGCTTTCAACAATTCTGACAATAATAAGGACCTATCAATTGACCTTTGTTTTTATCTGTGGTTTGCAGCTGAGTTTAGTGAAGCTAGTTGGAAATGCAGCAAACCAATCGATGGAAATTGCAGAGACAGAAACTGCTGTTGGGATCTCTGCAAAAAGCAGATACGATCCGCCAAGACCGTGGATGCGGCTTATAGGTCCATTAATGGCGCCCATCAGTGCTTCTGTACCGTGATATATAATGGTAAGCCAGGTCCTTGTCCTTAGGCGCCATAAGTGTGGGTGGGGGTATATTTTATATAAAACTTAACAATTTTTAATAACTTTGAGCTTTGAGGGGTTACATTACATGTGCTTTAATTGTGGGTGATAAAAATTCATCGGACGGTTAATTTGATTATATTTTAATTTGTAAAATTAAGTTAGGGGTACATATTTCAATTTATAACTTGTAAATAGCTCATAATACCCATCCTTACATGTTAAGAGTTGAGTAGAATGAACTTATGGTTGATAGATTAATTAATTTATTTTATTTTTTATTATTATTTTTAAAAATATTGTATTCATTATTTTTAATTCATTTTTATATTTACAACACT